GCTCTTGTCGAGCGGCCAGGGAATCTTCAGCATTCATGTATTTCTGGGCTTTGGATAGTAGGGCTGCCATGGGGGTTGGGGGGTTTTTGGGGAGGGAGAAAAGGAAATCCGACGACCGCAGGCCGGCCATGAAGGCGGTGAGGATGACCTTGTCGTCATTCTCCGCTACTTGAAGGGCCTCGGTGTTGAAGCGGGTGACGAAGCTGCGGAGCGACTCCCCCTCGGTCTGACGAATGTTTAGGAGTTGGGTGGCTGGGCGTCTCTAACGCTGGGCCCCGATGAAGTGGCTCAGGAAAGAGTCACTGAGGTGTTGGAAGGTAGAGACGGAGTCCGCCGGTAACTGGCTAAACCACAATCGAGCTGATCCCTTTAGTGTCACTGGAAAGGCTCGGCACATGATCTCGTCAGAGAAAGCATGGAGGATCATGAGGGTGCGGTAGGTTTCCAGATGGTCGACTGGGTCCGTCGTGCCATCGAAGGAGTCAATGGTAGGCATTTTGAACTTGGCGGGCAACGGTTTGTCGCGGATGGAGGCAACAAAAGGCGAGTTGGTTTCCAGATGGTCGACTGGGTCCGTCGTGCCATCGAAGGAGTCAATGGTAGGCATCTTGAATTTGGCAGGCAATGGTTTGTCGCGGATGGAGGCAACAAAAGGCAAGTTGGCGGTGACTGAGGGCTTGTGCTGAATGTTCTGCATGACCCCTTGTAGTTAGAGTTTCATAGCTCGGAGTTCAGCGTCCCAGAGGGGAATGTTGTTGCCATGGTCGGTCAATGGGGGCTGGATACTGCTGGCTTCCCCCTCAGGGGCTAGTGGCACGACTGGCGGGCGTGGAGGTAGGCTCACATGTGGAGGAGGAGGGGGTTGTAAGCCTTCTGGGTTGGGGAGGTTGGGGGGAGGGGGTTGTGGAGCAGTGTGGTCCGGGGTTCTTTCTTGGTTGGGCGGAATGTCTGGAGGTGGAGCAGGGAGGTTTCTTTGGAGCAAAGCATTGATCAGGGCCTGGTTTTGCTCGGCCATGCGGTTAATACTGTTAGTAAGTTCGATGATGTACTGTGGTGGGTTGTTTGGATGGGAAGGGTCTGTTTGATGATCGGTGGTATTATGGTGGGAGGCCATGGACCTAGTCGTGACCATACACCTGGACGCGTGAGAGGAAAAAGGTAATGGTGAGAAAGGAGGGCTCCGGCGATAGTGAACACAACTAGCGCACGAATAAATCACAAGTTTCCCACAGACGGCGCCAACTGATAATACAGTCCGTCCCGGGTGGATGGGTCGGGCTGGTCCAAGCTCTTCAAGTTCCGGTTCAGGGTAATGATTCCGTCAAATGACCTGCAAGCAAGTCCAAAGGGAAACGGGGCAGTCCCCCAGTGAACCCTCCAGCGAGAGAATCATTAGAGGAAGAAGGAAATGTAGAGAGGGATAGATAAAAAGCTTAACCTTCCTCGTCTTTCTATTCTTGCTTATATCCTTTGGTAATCATTTCACTGTCCCTTGTGACGTGCCCCCTTCCGCCGAAAGCCTGTGTCGTAGCTTACCTTGTTCAGGGTGAGGGGGCTCTGTTCCGACGGGGAGGTGTTGTCGTAATAAATGCTGTGATGGGCTGCATTAATGGTGATGTGTTGTGGTAATAACTCTGCAGATCTTTGTCTGCTGATGTGGCCTGTGTTTCACCTGCCATGTGCTCGAATGCCATTGGCCCTCCATGTCTAGATGGCCTCCAATTGTCCTGGGCTTTGCCAACCGGGTTATGCTATTGGTCCCAAGCAATGGGTTTGGGGTGGTTTGCTGTGGGCCGTATGCCTTGTGAGCCTATCCATGTCAATTATCATGGCAAGAAAATTTGGACTCTAGAAATTGTTTAGCATTGAACTATTTAAAAATACATTGTTTAAGAATATATATATATATATATATATATATATGCACTAATAACCCAAAAAAATTACAATTACCGTATATCTATTATTTGTGGAATAAATGCATATCCTTTTAACTTGAAGAAAATGGCTCGTATGGTTTGTCATAAATAATTATAATTGTCTTTATTTTTCACCATTTTATCAAGAAAATATTTAAATAGAAATTATGAAACAAAATATGAAAGCTTGCAACTCAATTTGCATAAATTTTCTAACTTGACCAATTCTCACGTTGTTTATTCTATGTAAGTTATGGAAAACGATATTCACGCTGTTTTTTAACCTCTCATACTAAAAATTCATTAATATTACATGAAAGAAAGACTGCAATTTCTTGCAATGCATCACAATAAAGACTTGTCATTTCTCAAACAAAAAGAAATGAAAATTGTCACAACTTTTGAATCAATTACATGAATTTTTTTTTTTTTTTTGCTATTCCACTTTATCAAATGTTACAGCTTCAGTTTATTTCTCATAACTAATAAAGTAGCCATCATTCTTATAATCAATGTACCAAATAATAAAAGGCACCTTGCAAAAGAATGGAAAGGCTATTTTTAAATGATAAACTGTTGGGGAATTTTCTAAAAATTAAAGTCTCTTAAGAAAGCTTGAAACAAATTGAAAATTCAGCATTAAAAAGATAGATTAACGTGTAACACTTAGACCATATTTAGTTCATGGATTTGGAGCCGTATTTAGAAATTTGGGTAAAAATTTAGAAAGAATATCTAAAACGTAAGTGAAATATAATTATATTTCATTCCCATTTCACCTACATTTTTCCTTTCTCTTTTCAAATTTCTCCCTAAGTCCGTGAATCAAACCTTAATAAATTGTTTAATGAAATATTTCTTTGAAAATAGAATTGTTATTTGTAGAGAAGAATATTAGTGTGCATGCACGCATACTGTAGGAACGGTACGGGTACAAGTATGCACGCACTTTCTTATTTACATTATCTTTGAAAGACCGAATAACAACTTTTAGGTAATTTTTATCTAATTTCATATGTTTAATCTTGACTAATTAATACCACCACAATCTCATTGTACTTAATAACCCAATCAACCTCATCCGGCAATTAAACATGGCCAATAAATTTCTATATTTTACTTTTTCAACCAAGTGCATTACAACATAAAATTATTACTTACTCTTGCAATATTGCTCTATATTAATCACCAATTGACATACCTTTGTTGAGAAAAATATCAACACAAAAATAATAAATCAAACTATCTAAACCAATTATATTCGAGTTGGGAGACAACCTGACAATGCCCTGAGAAACACCCAATTACTTTTCCACAACTTGATGTAGAATATATGAAAGGTGACAGATACAAGTAGCATAAACCTTGTCTTTATTTGATGTCAATGCTCTAATAAAATATGTGACTGATTCATTGAATACTCTTTTATACCTATTATTATTATATTCCAACTAGGGGTTTGCAACTTGTTTGAACTGTAGAAGTTTGGTTCTTAGTTTTTATACATAAACCCATATAAATAGATAAAAATAAGTAAAGAATAGAGGAAACAAAGGAAGAAACCATTGTTGATTATTATTATAATATTTAGTTGCAATAATTCCATAATTATGCAAAGAATGAGTTAAATGTATTGTGAAAATAACATCAACTAAAAGTATTTTCAACAATGATTCATCCCCCTTTTCCTCCCACCCCCTTTGACCCCCTCTCTCTCTCATTGGTTACATTTTCTTTTTCTTTTTCTTTTTTTTCCTGCTCCTCCAATCACCACCCGCCACGTGGCAAAGGGGGTGAGGGGGTGACTCCCAAAAGGGGGTCCCAAGCATTATTCAAGTATTTTTTTATACAATATTTAGATAAAATTGGCAAAATAAAACTCGAGATTCGATTGTACTATACTTTGTTTTGGTATTAAATTTTGAAAGGGCAGGTAGATTTTGGAATGACACATCTCTTTTTGGAAAGAAATACTTATCATCTTTTAAGAAGTGATTCAAAAACTGATAAAAGTGATGACTAATCGTAATTTGTCTTATACTCGTTCTGTCTGATTTGTTTGACATAAACTGCTTCTTCACAAGTCAATTAAGATGCAGTAGGTTCAATGAAACCTTATTTTTCGGGTTTGGATCTTAAATTTATGGGACGAAATAGTGATCCACGTTCATTAGCGATCAACCCATATTTTCCGACTAGTTTAAAGTGAAAGCCACAAAGTCCAGTTGAAAGTAAAATTTTCCAAAGAACATGACTTCTGTATGGGAAGAATGTAGAATCCGAATTTATACAACAATACAAACAATAAATGGTGGAATGATAATAACAATAATAATAATAATATAAGGAATAGGGGCACTAATGAATTCATTTCCGTCTTTGGCGGGAGAAACCTGGGGATCCAACAGATTGTGAACCTCTGAAATTTCTGCTGGGAGAATCCATTGATCCTCTAAAAGAAGCATAAGCAGCCACAGCTGATTCTGGAACTGAGTCCAGCGGAAATGTCTCCACGAAGCATGCTGTGTTAATCCGAGTCCTCTCCAGCTCTGCTTGAAGTAGTTCTGAGCTATACTGCTGGGCAAGGGCCTAAGAAAATAGAAACATTGTTAAAAAAATAATGCATAAGAGAAGCCACCTAATAAAATGTGCAACCGAAAAGGATGTACTGTCACTGATTCTCTCAGTGATACAAGCTAACTTTTCTAACTTCCAAGCAATCAATTTTTAGTTTTAGTTCTGATCATAGGATGCCATTAGAGGCAGGGAAGGAGGAGGGAAGTAAATGTAGAAGGTTATGGAGCAGCCCAGGTGTTAAGAATTGATAAAACTAATCAAGATCCATGAGATACGAAATGCAAACAAGAATAAAACAATAATCTAAATCAAGCACAAAAGAACACAAATTTACATGGTTCACCCACGAATAGAGCTACGTCCACGATGGTTGTGGTTCATTATGATTTGATAGAGTTACAATACAATACAGAAAAATGTGACACTTCAACTATAAATAAATAGTGTATTAGGGGAATGGGGCAGAAGTCTGAAATACTAATGTTGTGTTTGGTTAGGGGATTTGAGGAGGGATTTGGAAAGAAAAATGGAAAAGGTAGGTGAAATGTGAATAAAACATGCCTAAATTTCGCCTAGTTTCACACACTTTTTCCCTTTCCCTTTCTAAATCCCTCCTCAAATCTCTCAACCAAACACAACATAAAAGTACCCTTACTCCAAAATTCGGATACTTATCAGGATTCACACTATCCAACACAAGGTTGGGTTGTAATGCTTGCATCTATTTATGTACCCTCCAAACATCTTTAGGCTCTCTCTCCACAATCACAATATTTGTAGCAAGGAGAGTGAGCAAGAGGATGGCTTAGCAAACGAAAATAACAATAAGTGGGTGAAGTAGGTGGAGAGTAGGTGGATTTTAACAAATAATAAACAAAACAAAACATGAAATTTTTTACATACTGAATTTGTTAAGTTTTTTAGTGATCATATTAAGACAGTCTTCACTTTGGAACAAGTACTTTGTGTGAATAGATAAAAGCATCTTTAAAAAGCCATATGCCAATGGTAATTTGGTCACTCAAAAAACTTTGTTGTAGCAAAAGTCAAGACTCTTGATAATAGAATTGCTATGGTTGAGTGGGTTTTCCATATCTAATGTTCTAAAAATTTGTATCATTTAACAAATCCTTGTCCAAGTTCTGCAAACTATTTTAGTTAATACCCATTGTCAAATTCTCACACAAACCAACATGAACCTACAAAAAAGCATTCAACTTGTTCATAGGGCTGCAAAACAAACCAAGCTACTCAAGCTCGACTCTTGTTCAGCTCATTAAAAGCTCGTTCCAGACCAGCTCGTCATGTAAACAAACCAAACTCAAACACATTTTAAATCTAAAGCTTTCAAGCTAAAGTTGACCAACATACTACTCCGTTCAATAAGCTGATATGCACTATAAAAAGCCAAGCTACTCGAGCTTGACTTATGTTTGGCTCATTAAAAGTTCGTTTGAGATTGGCTCATTATATAAACAAGCTACGCTTGAACAAGTTTTGAATCTTGTTAAGTTTTTAAGCCAAGCTTGAACACCTTACTATTCGGCTCAGCTCTTTTGCAACCTTACCTGTTCAGAATATCTACAATGCCAAGACATATCAGAGCAAGAGACCTAATAAAAGGGATCCTTACAATGAGGTCATCAGGTGACACGGTCATCCCTTGCTGTCTATCATCTGAAAGTGCATCTTCACTCCCACGAGTCGTCCGCCGGTGATGACGTGGAGTCTCAATAGTCTCGGTTACACTCTCAGTGGCTTTCTCCAGGAGGTCCCCTTGTAAAGCCGTCAGAGACTCCCTTGCATCGGGTGTAAAATATGGATTCAATATGGTCTCAAAATATTCAAGCTGCAGAAGATAAATTCAAACAATCAGGCATTCTAATTAAGTAACCATGTCGGGCATTTTTTAATCTGCTGCAAGTGAAGAAAACATAAGGACATCTTTCCTTTTAACCGTTTTCAACAAGAAAACCCTCACAAAATACTGTGGCCTGCTTAGCATCATTTCAAAAGCCATTCTGCTTTCAAAATAGGAAAACAAAAAACACAGAAATCATGTTTTCTCGACAGTTCTCTGCTTTCAACTGTAACAGAAAATGGAAGCAAATCCCAATATAACCTTGCTTCCAAAATCTTCATCGTTTCGTTTCCAAAAATTCAAAGATGAAAAACAAAATAAAGCTCTTAGTATTCACTTTGTCCTCAGTTTCGCTTTTCATTGTTCTTTTAATTTTATTTACACTGATTTCAAATCCTTCCAAACATGAGGGCATAATAAACAATATGTTCACTGTAAAATAAGAAGAGCAAAGTAAACAAATTTGAATCTATCCTGTCCACAAGAACTATTGTTGTTATTATTGTTATTTTATAAGCAAAATGGTATTATAGAGCGCCAAAAGGGGTGCAACCTATATAGAAAAACAAAAAAAAAAAACTATCAAAAGAACTCAATATACAAAAGCAAAAGAGGATTCACAGAAGCAAAAAAAAATCCTTCGCACCAAAAAATGAAACTATGCAATAAAGATGTCTTAACCCTTTGAACTCCAAAATCTATATCCTCAAAAGTTCTTCTCCTTTCGCATCACAAGCACGGCATAAGACATAAAGGAGCCACCAACCAAGCTTTCTTCTTTCACTTCATCACCTTAAAACCACCACCTCTGTCAAAGGGACTTTATCCAATATGAATGCCCCTACAATCTACAATGATAGGCAAATGGCCTGACACAGGTCTCGGTATCAGAATTTAAGAGAATCACAACAATCAATCAATACAATCAATCAATAATACATATAATTTTACAGTATCAGAATTTAAGAGAATCAAAAGTTCATCATCATTAGCTTTGATGAAATCTGAAAATCCCATCGTTGCAGAGGGAATATGACTGCAACCTCTCCTCTCAACTGGGAACCGAATAACATTAGAGTCCCCACCAATGCACCATGGCTTACCCCACCTCTCATTTGCACCCATCAATTCCCCCCACAATGCTTTCCTGTTGGCATCCAAAACCTGGCCATAGGCCTCTCAGAAGATCCACCGAATGCCATCCTCTACCAAAGAAAATAAAAAGGACAAGGAGTTATTAATCACCATGCAGGACATCGCTCATTTCCTTCCACCACTCGCATATCCCAAAAAATCAAATGCCCCCACCTGTGGCTCTATAGTGTAGCATCTACAGCCTCCCAACTCACAAAACATAAACCCCACAAACTTGCAACTATGGCACTATCTAAGTTGTCCATTTTGGTTTCATGCAAGCAAAACACAACCACTCACCAGGATTGGATCATCGATTTAATAAACTACAAAGTTGCATTTAATTTATTTTAATGTGTGATTGTCTGATGTTAGCTGCTGCAGGACCAGAAAATATTCTTTTCCAGAAATAAACAGTACCTAATTTAAAACAATACAAGTAAGCGAAGTGGAACGCCATTATTTACCTCAAGCATGAGCTGACAAAAACCATTTGCATCCAATGACCTAAGATCTTTTGTTTTGTTTTCATGGAAAAGACTGAGGAAAGTATCAATTAGGCCTTCGACGAGTATACCAAGCGTCTTGTCCAGTAGGGGCTTACAGCCAGCAAAGACCTGTAATGAAGAAATTATTTCACCTCATAAGTTTAATTGAGAAAATGAACTTGAGACGTATGATCAGTTGATTACTTAGTCAGGCTTCAGAGATTGGCCTTAAACTGATGTGGATATGGCTTCTAATTTTAACAGAATATAAATACAGTGCACTAAACGTAGGTCGAAAAAAAAAAAAAAAAAAGAAGCATAAAGAATCAAATAGCAAAACAAGAAAATTTTCAAACATAAATCACGCAAAGCATGAATTAAGTACCTCTGCATGCACAGCTACTAAAGCATGCAGTAACTCTACAGCAGCATCTCGCACACCCTGCAAAGTATTAGCATTGTATGGAATTTTTTTAGAGAAAAATAGTGTTCATCAGTCAAGGCTCTGAAAGAAGAAAAGAACCATAATTGTTTTCTCTAATTCCTCACCTTGACTGCAGGTGCTTCCCCCCATTGAACTCCAGAATCCAATAAATAGTTCATGGCGGCTGTTCTAATCAAATTTGCCTGAAAAAATACACAAAGATGCCGAGTTAAAAGACCCAAATATTTAGGGAGGCCACAGTAAGAAAGTCTGATTCTCTCTCTCTCTCTCTCTCTCTCTCTCACACACACACACATCCTTGAATGCATTCCTGTAGCAACCCTCACTTTACTCTAGTCATGCTTGCATGTATTTACATGATCTTGTCTTGTTAAGTTGCATTGCAAACCTTGATTTGTTTCGCATAAGTGTTGCTTGCATGTTTTGTTCCTTGTTTAGTGTGAGTTTAGCCGAGGTCATCTCAAGCCTAGGTTACACCTTTGAACTTCTTATACCTAGACCATCTTGGAACCACCTTGGTTGACCTCCACCCTCACCCTGACATGTTGGCCGAGATGTCATTATCTAGGCCGAGGTGTTCATCACCAAGGCCGAGATGTGTATTATCTAGGCCGAGATGTTATCCTTTAGATAATTTAGATCTTTGAACCTTGCACCTAGTGATCTTGTTCCTGGACTGGTATGACCTAGACCGAGGTGTGGCACATCTAGGCCGAAGTGTGGCACAGCTAGGCCAAGTGTTATCCTTCCTAGCCGAGATCATTAAACCTACTTGCCGAAGCCTTGTCTTGACCCGAGGTCATTGCATGCCGGAGTGCCCTTGTCACCTTACTTGTTATATACACTTTGTCATGCACTTGTCTTGTCAGTCAATCACCTTTTGAGGAAATCCAACCAGCCGTTGCCACGTGTCCCAGCAGAGGGTTAAGTCTGCTGGTAGTAGAGAAACATATTACTTTGTGTGTCATATTTGCATGGTAGAGAGAGAAGCTCTAGGAAGAGGAGAGGAAGTTGGAGAGAGAGAGCTAGATCCCAAGCTTGATCTTTAGAGTTTGAGCCGTTTAATCCGTGTTTTGAGGTTAGAATCTTGATTTACTCTTGTTATTCTTTATGTTGATCCGATTGCATTGCATGATCTAGCATGATTCATGAGCCATGTATTGATTTAAAGCTTGCTTTAGAAAGAGAAAATGATGTTCTTGTGTTCTTGAGATAAAACCATGTTTTGATCCGAAAGTTTGTAACAAGTTCCATGTTTTTGTGTTTGTTTCTATAAAATCTTCAAGTATGGGTACCCAAGTCCATGTTTTCAAACTCATCTCATGAAAACTCAGATTTCGAATAAAGAAGTTATGAATTTAGCATTCATGCCCTTCATGTTCTTCAAGAGGGAAACCCAGATTTTCCCAGACTTCATTTCTTTGAATATGGTCGTCGGGAACACACCTCGGCTAAGAGGTGTAGGACCTCGGCCTAGACCTGGTTAGTACCCAGCATATTTTCCCGAGATGAAAAGGCAATGTTGTAACTCCCAGCATGTTTTGCTTTGACTTGACCTAGTTTTGAAAGAAATGCCAAGATCTTTTCCTGTCATGTAAATCTTGTTTTAAGAATGCATTTGATACCCATCTTTGAGCATCTCTTCTTGCCTTCTTGAAGTGCATTCAATGGGATTTATATTGTGCTTGTAAGCCTTGGATCCTTGCTTGTAATTCCTACACCCGAAGAATTATGTGAGTGTATTTTTAATAAAGTTATGTTATAAAGTTTTGATAAAGCTTTGCTTCGTTTTGGAAAAGTATTTGCTCAAGCATGAATGATTATCCCTAGTCTTTGTATCAAGTATTATCTTGTTTTGATGACATTCTTGACAAGTCCGTACGTGCTAGGGGACTCTAAACCTTTGTAGCACAAGTCCGTACGTTCTAGGGGACTCTAAACCTTTGTAGCACAAGTCTTTACGTGCTAGAGGACTCTAAGCTTTTGTAGCACCTTTGTTTAATGTCATCATTTGGTATTATGTAGATGTTATTAACATCCCAAGAAGATTTGAAAGACTTGATAGATGAACTTGGTTCATCCCTTGATTTTGTACAAGTTATTATATGTATTGTTTTGGATAAAGATCTTGGATATCATTCATTTAACCCTTTATTTCTGATATCATTCACTGAGTATCCAAGCTCACTCTCTCATTATATATGTGTAGGTGAAGAGCAAGAAGGCGGCGACGCCTAGATGATTATTTGCAACTTGTTTTGGATTCGCATTTTTGTAGCATCTTGAAGATCATGCTTCTTGGCTTGTAGTTTATTTCTTTTGTTTATTTCTTTTGTTTATGTCGGCTTGAGAAGCCTTTTGATCAAGATGTATTATGTACTTATTTTATTTGTATTCAAGTTGTAAGACCTCGATAAGATGTATGTCATTTCATTTAATCTATGCACAGCTCTTATGGACTAATTAGATTTAAATTTTATTGCTTCCGCACATGTAGGCCCCATATGTATACTCTGATTGTTTGTGAATCTTTGTAATTTGGCCTTTAGTAAATCTCGGATTACTGGCCATCACGGCACCATCCTACTAGGGGCGGAATGGGGTCGTGACAATCCCACTTTATCCTTTTCAACAATAATCTCATTTTCTATCCCCTTTATTTTCCCGAACTGTGAACAGAAATTGTAATGGTAATTCAGGTACCCAAGTTGAGGGACAGAGATTTTTGAAACAAAGTACACCCAGTCTAGTCTTCATTAATGAGGGGCTCAAGGAGGGGTGGACGGATACACACCTAACCTCGATCATTATGTATGAAGTTGTTTCCCTCGTATTCAAATCCATAACCTTAAGGATTTTCAGCCTAATTTTAACCACAGAACCAGAGGCCCGTTCTCATAGTATACTGAATTCATTCATTATAGTTTTTTGTGACCCCATATATGAAAGGATTTCTATCCAATTAAACAGGTGTTTTATTTAGTTTTTAAAAAATCATAGATCTAGATTCAGCTTTTGGAACACAAATTATTTAACTGCTTTAATGACACAATTCTCTTATAATTGCCAACTGAGGGAGCCACAGAAAACATTCATATGGCTTGCCCCTTAATACAGGCTGCCCCAGTATCAGTTGCAGGAGCAAATGCCAAGTACCACAATTCATGCTACCTCAAATTAAATGAGTTCTCCCATTAGTTTTTCAGCTTTCCAGGATAAAAACTAAACCTGATCATCACCCTTCTGTTGCCCAAGGGTTTAGTACTTGCAAATGTACGAAATATTGTCTGAGTTACAGAGTCACATTCAGCTGATTGTAACCATTGACAACTTACGTTAACATACAAAAATTCATAGTTTCCAAAAATTGTAAAATGATTTCATGTGAATTGTAAAAGTTTCTATCCCAAGGACATGCTAATAAACTGAAATCAATGCAAACATGGTAAAATCCACCTACTCTCCACCTACTTCACCCACTTAAACCTACTCCACTAAACCTAACCCACTACACCACTACCACCTCCACTTCACCTACTCCTTACCTACTACACACTCACCCTCTTCTATATATAGGAATCATGAATCATTGTAATAGATATCAATAACATTATATCAATCAATAATACAATTCTCTATTTCTCTTTATACATTAAATTTCTACAAAACAGGAGACGAAAATCAATTAAGTAGAAAGCCTATTGAATACAGAAGGCAAAGCAAGACAAAAATAATGCTCAGCAAATGATGTGTGCACAACAATGTCCAGTTAAATTGTAAGACAATGTTTAGATATACCTTTGCAAAAGTGTACTGTTCAAGGACCTTTTCTTCAAGCCCAGAGAAAGACATAACCAATTCTTGCAGATCACTGTCCTCTTCATCTCTTCCCCTACACGTAGTGAAGATAAGAATGTCACAACTAATATCTGTAGATCAACATGTGTTGTATCCACTCACACACACACACACACACACAGAGGGGAAGAGAGAGAGAGAGAGAAGTAAAATAAAGTAGGGAATTTGCAAAAAAATGGGATGAAACTTAAAATTTAATTACAAAAACATGACAAAATTTACAATTTATCCCTCTAATTTTTTCCCTCCTCCCTCTCCTCTCTCTTCCCTAACTGAATTATCCTAATAAAATCAAAATTGAATTTGGGAGTTCTTTAATGACTATGGCCATTCGTGAATTGAGATTTCATAATAACACAACATATCTTCAAACATACAAAAAATAATTTCTCCCTGAGAGTGCAACCTAGAATCTTAATACGGAAAAAAGGAGTCAACGAAGAAAATTTGAGGGGTTTAATGTTATGGTGCAGGAAATTGTGCTGAGATCGGGGGGAAAAAAACATTGGTTAATGTTAAAACCTACCATCACCTACTCCACCTACTACACCTACCACCACCTACTACCACCTACTACACACCTACCACTACCACCTACTACCACCTACTCCACTACATCTCCTATGTTAAAATGTACCAAAACCTACCACTACACCTACTCCACCCACTTCACCTACTCCACCTACTACTCCACCTACCTCCTTTAAATCTTCTATATATAGGACTCATTGTAAACACAACATATATCAATCAATAATACAATCAATATCTATACAATTCTCTATTTCTCTTTATACATTAAATTTCTACATGGTATCAGAGCAAGGTTAAGAACTTAGTATTTTTCGCTTCACCGGCGGGCGGCAACCTCGCCTTGGCCGCCCGCCGGACCTCAACCTAGTCCGCTGGAATTTTCTACACAGACGTCGACATCAATAAGCTTCAAATTCTTCTTCTTAGCGACAAACGTGTTTACCTCTGTCACGAAGCGCCTTGTAAGCTTCAATGACCAGAACCACCTCATTTGTAGACTTGGCTAGCCCATATTGCTGGTTGGGGTGAGTATAGGCTAACTGAACATCGTCTCCGATCTGCATAAACACCGCTGATTGATTGAGAGAGAAATCTGCTGCTGCTGCTATTATTTCCCATGCTCATCATCAAGTTCAACAGCTCCACATGCTATCAATGCCCGACAAGCTCTCTCAACACACAGGCTCTCTCTCTTTCACCAGTACGGGGACGATAATTTCCTCACTTTACAGGGCAACTCCGATTCGATGACCACGTCGCAGCAGCAGCAGCCACGGGAGTCACTTCTCCATTCACACTTCCAGTAAAGATTATTGCACGCTGGACTCATTTCCAGCAACGGGCTGTTATGCTGTTTACAATTCTCCGTCAACTCTCATGTTTCTCACCCAATGGAAGTCCCATATCTCAGCAAGAGTGTCATTCATATGGGTCCGGTGTAATTGATGATTTTATTGAATTCAGACACAAGCTGCGTGAACTTGAAACCGTGATGCTGAGACCACTCTCGAGCTCTCTCTCTTCCTTTTGGCAGTTTGAAATCACACTTCTCACTCTCTCTCTACTCAAGCCCATGTGATAAAGTGGAGAGAGAGGGTGTTGGGTTTGCAGATGAGCATGTTTTGTGCTGGTGGAGATTGGTTTAAAAATAAAAAAGGGGGATGGGTGTGCAAAAGGTGTTGGAGGGATGGGTTGGAAAGTAGACATAGTGCTGGTGGGACCTCCCACTAGCAAAAGCAAGTTATAATCCTAATTACCCTCTCTCCACTAATTCCTTTTATTCTTATTATTATTATGAACAACCTCAGAACCCATGTGCTCTTTGATCCCTTTTATGACACTTTCTTTATTTTATTATTTTATTTTATCTTTAAAAAAAAAAAAAAAAAATCCGATGATTGCAGCTTGTTCAATTTATTATTTTTGTCATAAAAAAGTACGGTTCATCTTTTAAAAACACAATTTTGTCCATTTTTTTAGTGAAAAACATGATAAATTAAATACGTTACAGTTATCAGATCGACCTAAATTTTTTTGTGAATGAAACAAACGAAGTGTCTAACAAAATGAACGGTTTGGATCAACGGGGCCCATGGTGAACCCCACAAGCCCAAACAGACCCATCCAGTCCAGATTTTGAATTGAAAAAAATTCTCCTCCTTATCAAAAAAATTTAAAAAAATGAATACTTTTACCTTCTAATATTTAAAAATTAAATTTTAAATTACAATAAATTATACCACACAAACGTGGTATATAACCATGTTTTTTTATTTGAATCTGTACTTTGGAAGGCACGATGAATACAAAAACTATGAACAATTATTGAAGTGCTTAATGTGTCACAACCAATATGTGAACTTTCTATCTACTAATCCCCCGCTTCATTAGGCAACTTTCACTTTCAATCTTCCTATCAAAAGGGGAGACAAGAAGTAAAAAAGAACAAAAGCAGATCAACTCTCTTTTTAAAAGATTTTAATGCGTTTCAATTCTTTGTACAAATCACCAATTATCATCTTGCAGTGGCTGTTGTTGTCTGTTTATTAGGAATTTTCTACTGCCTCCTGGCATAATATCTACGCATTGACAAGGTTGATGTTAGACCTACGTCTCTATCTCGCCTAAAAATACTTGTCTCTTATGATTTAACGTAACATGAGTTTGCTTTTTCGGACTCTAAGCACAAAAGCACCTTTTAAGATAGGAATATCTTGTGCCATCATATAAATTTAATATTATGAATATAATCTGCCTCTAATGTGAAATGCCAAATGTTGATATAGCACTACAATTGATTGACAGTACATGCCCACAGTCCAAGTTTTATTTCCCACTCTTCCCATTTTAGAGAAAGTTAAAATTTAGTTTCTCACAAAAAAACAAAAAAAAAAAAAAAAAAAAAAAA